CCTTATCTTATAAAATTAGTAAATTTTAGCCATTCACCTTATAATATGACACTTTTAGTCTTTTACTTTATAAATTTAGTAGATTTTAACCCCTCACCTTACAAAATTGATAGGTTTTAATCCCTCATTTTATATTATGACATTTTTAGCCCTTCACCTATATGAATTGAAGAAAATAACCCTCACCTAATATTAGGTTATAACATTCTGTTGGTTCTGTTAGTTGATTATTAACATCTGTTAGTATTTCGTTATAGAAAACATGAAATTTAAATTTAATTTTATTTGTTAGTTCAATTAACAGAATACTAACGGATGCTAACAGTTAGCTAACAGAACCAACAGTCAGCTAACAGATTGACAGTCAACTAACAGAACTAACAGAACATTATAACTTGATATTAAGTGAGAGTTATTTTTTTCAATTCGTATAGATAATGAGTTAAAAGTGTCATAAGAGTTAAAAGTGTCATAATATAAGGTGATGGATTAAAACTTACTAATTTTATAAGGTGAGGGGTTAAAACCTACCAACTTTATAAGATAAAGGGCTAAAATTATCATATTATAAGCTTAGGGGCTAAAACTTATCAATTCTGTAAGATGAGGGGTTAAAATTGGTTTTAACCGTCTCCTGATGCCAGTGATATTGTCTTTGTTTTCCATTTTTCAACATCAATGGAGTAATTTCAGTATCAATTTGAATAACCCTTCAATACGACAGCGTTGCATCTTGTTAGCTTCTTTTTTTTTTTTGTTATAAATTGCTATTTTTTTAATTTTTTAAGCAACCTTTAATATACATAGAAAAAATACATATAAGTCTCTGATTTTTAAAATAAACTAGAGTCTCAATTGTAAATTATTTTATTTTATCTTATTAAAATTTAATTTAAAATTTAAAATTTTATTTTATTAAATGTTTATATTTTTATTTAGAAGCTAATTATATTAAAATATTGATGTGCTATCTTGCAATTCATCTTGTTGTGGACTATAAGATTAAGACCATCAAAAGGGAGAGGGGAAACCAATATTGGGGAGCCTTCCCCTTTGATGGTTCTAATCTTATAGTCTACCAAGGATAGACTATAAGACATTTTTCATTATAATAAATATATAATCGGTTTCTAAATATAAATATAAATATTTAATAAGATAGATTTATGAATTTTGAATTAGATTTTAATTAAATGAAACAACATAAGTTGGGATTTCAATTTTTTTAGTTGTCGATATATATATATATTTTAAAAAATATATATTAGAGTATAGGTCATCCTCCTAAAACTCTTTTTAGAGAATTTGTCTAAAACTCACATTCTAATTAATATTTTTAAAAATCAACTATTAAATTAAAAGTCTTATACATGAGAATTATGAATGCATGTCAATTTTTATATTGATCTAACACTTCTAACCTTTTAATTAAAGAAACTCTATTTACTAAAATATATTTAATAATGTTAAATTTCTTATATTTAACGAAATAATTAGATCTATTAAAAAATTTAAAAATTAATATGCATGATGTATATAAATATAACTTTCAATCTAATAATTAGTTTTTAAAAATATTAATTACAAGTTAAATTTTTAAACATACTCTCTAAGAAAATTTTAAGAAATC